TTTGGTAACATGGAACGTGTTTCCCTGCCATCTGCCTCAGTGTTTGCTTTGGGAAGGACAGAGGAGAAACAGCAAGAGCCCGTCACTTCTACTTCTTTAGTGTTTGGGAAGAAAGCTGACAGTGAAGAGCCAAAGTGTCAACCAGTGTTTTCCTTTGGGAATTCAGAGCAGACCAAAGATGAAAGCTCTTCAAAGCCAACCTTTAGTTTTGGGGTGGCAAAACCTTCTGAGAAGGAATCTGAACAGCCAGCAAAGACCACTTTTGCTTTTGGTGCTCAAGCTAGTACTACAACTGGTAAGTATTAAAATTTTTTTAGAAGGTCTTTATGGTAATCTGACATGGAATGGTTTGTGTTGAACACAGTTGAGAGTCCCCCAGTTAGAAGTGATTCTGATGACATAATAGTGATTAAAATCAGAATTGGTATAGTCTGACCAGGAGTATGCAATATTGGTGATTTTGCGCTGAAACTTGGGTCATAGTTAACTCTCCTAGGGGTTTTCAGCAGCTGTAGTTCACATGGGAAGAAATTACTGTCTTTTTCTGAAGCAGCTCGTGGATTCTACCCACATGCCTTTGGATTGGCAGTATAGCTCTTTACCACTAGACACCAGAACTTGTTCATGAAGTATTTTCTGTTATGATATTTATGTAAAGTCCTTTGTCATTCAAATGTCTGTATAACTAGTCAACACCACATATGTTAGTAACAGACAAAAGCCCAAGAAGATAAGTGATTGTAAAGAAAAATGAGCAGATTCTTACATTACAAGCAGAATTGGTGAAGTAACATATCCATTTAGGGACTAATCAGACTTGTGAATGAAAATTTTCCAGAACATAATACAAATTGCAGAGATTGTGCCAAGCTAGTGTCACAAAGGCCACAGGAATAAGAGTACTTAGAAGATTAGAGGAAATGGCAGAGATGTAACAGAAGAAAATTTCCTTAGAATTAAAAGAAATCTTAAAAATGGAAATAATATGCTTAAGAGAGACCAGTGCCATTTTAGAAAGAACATCAAGCTAAAAACCCATATACTTTCAGAGAGAAGCTGTTTGCCTCAATAAAAATAGGTATCTTCTTAGTATCAGACCTCTAATTGCAAATCAGATGCTAAAAACAGTAAGATGATGCCCTCAAAGTCTAAATGATCTTGAACCTAGAGTACTGCAGTCAGCCAAATTTATTTGAACAAATTTCAAAATAGGTTTTCAAGACAAGCAAGAACAAATAATTAAGGGTCCATATATACTCTGGAATAAGTTGGAAGCACTCGAACAAAAATGAAACATTAGCTATGAATAGCCAGAACTATACTGGAATTCACCAAATAGTTGTGAACCATTTATTTTTATCAATTATATTTTTAAATTTTTTAAAATTCTTTAAAGAAAATTAAAACATAAAATCTGAGATAGGGTTTAATAAAATTTAATCATAGCCTCACTAGACTTTCTATCACAGTACACATTTTTTTTTTATTTTTTTTTTTAGTACACATTTTCTTAACTAATCATCCTGGAAGCAGGAGTGGCATCCACTTCCTAAATAACTTGCCTCCAAAAACCCTATGAACTTCGAGAAAGGACAAAAGTTATACAAGTGTCCAGGTCTTTTGTTTATAGGGTCACTGTGAGTCACCTACGATTCGATGGCACTTAACAACCACCATCCTACTTAACTGGAAACTGGAAAGTTGCTCCATTATGCTCTTTTTCCTATAAATCATTCTAATGCCCAAAATACACTAACTGGTCCTGTCTATGAGGTAGTATTGGAACTAAGACATTGTAAATATGGCAGCTGGATTCAAGATCACCTCACAATCAGTTTCCCCTCTAAATCAGCAATGAACAGATGCCCACCATATTTCTTTTATATTTTCAAGCTTTCCAATTTGTAGTTTTATGAAAAGTAATACGTGTAACATATTCAATAATTAAAAGCGTATGAAGGACACACCTTCTCTAGTTTGTGGGTTAGATTATTTTTTCCCTACCTTTACCTGTATATAGTTTAGAAGAAGTTTGGTGGCACTAGACAGGCTAAGCAGATTTTCAAACTCATGAAAGGGAAAATGCACAATAAATTTTAAGAAAAAGAATCCTACCAGTATCAAAACATATTACAAAGCTACAATAATTAAATAACCTAGTGACTGTAGCAGTGGAAGAAGCAGAAGTTGCGTGTATATCTGGAAATTTAGGATGTAAAAGTAGCCGTGCAAGATTACTGGTCACAAATCAGTAAATGCTGCAGAAAAATGGCCTATCCATTTAGATATAATTTAAAATTCTGATACACAGTGTAACACAATTGCAAGTAGAAATCAGATGTACAAAAGTACATCTCTCTCCTAGTTAGCCGTGCAAGATTACTGGTCACAAATCAGTAAATGCTGCAGAAAAATGGCCTATCCATTTAGATATAATTTAAAATTCTGATACACAGTGTAACACAATTGCAAGTAGAAATCAGATGTACAAAAGTACATCTCTCTCCTAGTATCTGAACTTAATATCCAGATACATCCCCAGATAGATTTTTGTTTAAAGGATATTTTTTGTTTGTTAATCTGAGTTCTTAGATCTTCCTTTGGAAAAAATTAAAGCATTATGAAAGATGTATATATCTGGTTATCAAAATTTTATATAACATCTGGCACATTAATCTATAGGAAATACTTGTTATTCCTTTGTATATTTGAGTGTGATTTGAATGAGGGTTTACATACAGATTTATTTTTTCCTTCAATCATTCGTGCTCATTATTTTAGGACACTAATAACAGCACCCTTCCCACTTCTCTCTAAACATTCTCATTTCCATTAATCCTTCCATTAAAACTCAAGGCTTTATTATTATTATTATTATTATTAAAATTCAAGGCTTTATTCTTGGGCAAATAATGCTGCTTTTTTGTTTATATGGTTGATTATTCTAAGGAGAGAGTGCTTTCCTGGTATTACTCTTCACCTTATCAAAACTCAACCTAAATGCATTGACATTTGAGTCAAAATCACCTCAAAGCTGATGGACCCACCAGTGGGTCTTGAGAGACTGGAAATTGCACTGGAAGAGATAAAGCTGATTTTCCTTCTGGAGAGAAGCTGGTGAAACCAAGTCATGCACATTTGGGTTGACACTGCTTCTCCTCCACTTTCTAGGCTACCTGGGCTCCCATCTTATTTGTCTAATACAAATATGTCTGTTATTTATAGATATGTCTATTGTTTGACTGTAAATTGATCCATGGGGGTAAGTCTTCTCCAGATTTAGAGAGTGACAAGGGCCATAGGAGTCCATTGGTCTCTCCTTAGGCCAGCAAGTCTGGCCTCTTTTAATATTTTTGAGATTTGTACCAAATTTCCTCCACTTCCCCCTCCCCCCTTGCCTAAATTCTTTGAATATGGGACAAGAGAAATTACTTCCTTAAAGGATTCTTAAGGATTTTGGTTTGTTTTTTAATTTCTTACAGATCAAGGAGCAGCCAAGCCAGTTTTCAGTTTTTTGAACAACAATGCCTCTAATTCCAGCACACCAGCCACTTCGGCTGGTGGTGTTGTATTTGGTAGTTCAACTTCTTCCTCCAATGCACCTGTGGCTGCCTTTGTGTTTGGACAGGCCAGCAATCCTGTGAGCAGCTCTGCCTTTGGTAACTCTGCTGAATCCAGTACATCTCAGTCTTTGCTATTTTCTCAGGATAGCAAACCAGCAGCCACATCTAGCACAGCCACAGCTGTCACCCCATTTGTCTTTGGTCCAGGAGCCAGCAATAGTACTACAGCAACCACTGGTTTCAACTTTGGAGCTACAAC